TTAACTGCCTTCTGATATTTGGCTTCTCGGGGATTTTATGCATTTATTTGGTTACGTTCAACCTACGCCTTCTGATTCACTTCACGCGTGTTTCTTGGTAGCGGTGTTCATAGTTAATCCCAACTCGACGCCACGCTACAACTTAATGTATACCAACCAAGGTTTGTGATTTTACTGTCACGTCCAAGGTTTCTAAATGATGCATAAATCTAGACACACCTAATCACTGAAGTTCATCCTCTAAAAATATGATTTTTTGTTACATTTTCTACCTAATAAAAATAAAATGGAACCATGATGTCATGAACCACCAAAACTAGATAAGAATGAAGTTTAAGGATTCACACTGTTCACATGAAGTAGTCTTATATGCGTCTTTGAAGCCTCACGGTTCTGCTCGTAAGATTTAACTTTGTTATTCCATGAAAGGGTTTGTCTTCTGTTCTTCTAATTTTATTTTTCATCACACTACAAATTCAGTAAGTGTCAAAGAGTAGTTTATTGCACAACCGTAGTTTGGTTGAGGCTAAAGTCATCGTTTTCACTTGTCTTTCCAGTCCCTATGGACTTACTTTCGGGAAAGAGACATGTTAAACATAGTAATGAGTAGCCCCCGAGCTAGTGTTCATCAAGCGAAGACTGCAATTGTGGATGTAGCTCTTCAGGACCAGGTGACTTATTAATCCCGAGGTTAATGAACATTCGAATAAACGTCTTCTTGATCGTATGAAAATTTTCTGTAGCTGGTATTTCAGTGTGTGTTTACGAGAAGTCTTGTTAACAATACTCGTTAAACAGACTTCGCTGGAACAGTGTGATAAAGTTTTGCTCTTCATCAACCTGACTCAGTAAGTATATCTAAAATGTTGTGCAACAAGTTGTGGGATTCCATCACTTCGCTTTGTTTGTCGTTTAATGCTCAACAATAATCGTTTTGAGCTTATATGTATGTCTTTCGTAAGTGGCGCCGATCCTAGCTATGGTCTGCAACCATATATTCCTGATCTTCCGCCAGTCTCACTTAAATGATTCGTAGATCGTTGGCATAGACAAAACCCTGAAGTGTTTCATACGGTTACGTGTTACCTCGGAGGTTTACCAAATACGAAGAGGCTGAGAAGCTAAAACATTATGTTCAGTCCTAACACAGGTGAAAGTGTTATTTTCCTAATTTAAAGTTTGGAGAATACTAATATCTAGATTCGTCCCTCATGGCCTAATATACCACAAGATTTCGTTTGGTGCATGATTCATTGGCTAACCCATTTCTATAGCAAAGCCATTTTAATTTAAATGCACCATTATATACCCCAGGATAAGGAGAGCCAGTCAGAAGTAGCCTAATGAGAAGGCAGTCGCTGATAATCAGAATTGACCTGAAGGACAAATGCGTTATATTGGCTAAGAAATTGATCAACTTCCCGAGGATTAAGGTGGTATATACATGAACGAATATTTGTGTATTTTATTCGGTAGCCCAAGACACTTTCTCACTCCTGTGTTCTCGCTCAAGTAATCAGTTGGTGGATTAGGGCGTAGCACAACGCATATCAGTATCAGATTCCGGATACCTGAAATCACGACACTGGACTTTCTTACCCTAATGCTTATTCAGAACATGATTGTATTTTTATAATTGTGCGTTGTGGTCAAACTAGTTACCTATTTATCCACATATCTTCTCACGCTAATCTGAATCGGTAACAAGTCTAGTAGTGTTCTAGTTGACTCATTTTCTCTCTCTCTCTTGTCAACCATTCAGATTACAGAACAGCTTTCGGCTTTCTCCATAAGATTGTTAGTTTCGATTCGGGTACACGCATTTCTAGCCTCAATGTTGAACCCGTTAGCCTATAGTGTCAAGGCCTTAAGCTAGATGGACAAGTCCTCCCTTACGTTTTATTGGACTGACAGATCAGACGCAACACCAGAAGAGGAAAATTACCCAGTGTAAGATCCAAACTACGTTTGGACTGCTGGACAGCTGTCTGGATGAGTTAGATACGCGCCCTCGCCCGATTGAAACCAAAACAAAGTAATTGGGTAAGATAGCGGTTCTAAACAAATATTATCACCCGGCTATTCAACCAATGATTGTTCAATCAATTAAATCAATCACCACAAATAAATGTTATTCTATCCGGTCTGGATAGATCACGTACAGATTCGTTTAAAAGGTAATAATTGGTCGCTCTATAACACAGAGTGTTTTCAATTCTGGAAGAGTGCTTCAATTCACAACCAAAATGCACAATTCCAGTCAACACAGGTCAGGCAATCAAAAGCAAGGATAAACCAAAAATGGCTGCCGCCCAGACTTAGTATAAAGTAAAACAACATAAGTGCAGTTCGGGAAGAAACATGGGGAATTAGTGAAGGTGTAGTAAAAACGAAAACTATAATAAAATACAAATATTAACAATTCAAATGTAGCCAAAAAGTTAACAATGTACAACTAAGAGGATCAATAGGAACAAAGTGCAAGTAAATACATGGAGGGATTTTCACAAACACATAAAGCATTCAAAATGGATCTTACACCCAGAGTATACTGGCGTTTACATCAAAGCATCGATTCTCAGAACATCAGTTGACTCATGTGAGAGAAACTCAGCACTCAGAAGCTTACTTGAAAAGGACTGAGACATTCCGTCGGACTTCCGTCCTCAATACAAAAAACAAAATTTGAAAAACTCTTGCTCATTCGAAGGTTTGACAGCTTTCAGTACATTAAACTAACAATTCTAGATATCAGTTATACCGCCTTACTAGAAAATGTCCAATAACAACCCCTTTCAGGAAGGGAAAGTAAACGAGACTTTATTATTTATCCTTGTATCAATGTTCTAATTTTGAATAGTATCGTATTAAACTGACTTTTTGAAGCTAAATTAAAACAAGTTATTGGAGAACCATATCTTCTTACTATGAGGGGTAGGCAAAGACGATGACATTGTGCCACACGATATCAGCAAGGGGCTATTCCAAAGTAATAGTTAAAATATCAATGTTTCATGATATTGGTGGTTATTTGACAATGAACGATACTAGTTTATTAATAGAAGCTTAGTGGACTAATATTGCATTGTGACTTAAAAAATACTTCATAATTTCGAAGTGTCATGCCTAAAGAAACTGAATTCTGACTTGGAATACCGAATACTTTTTGAGATATTAATACAAGCGGATTACCTCTAACAAGTAATAGATTTTGCCTGCATTTTCAATCCCGAACCGCCTATCTGTGAAGTAGTCCGATTACTTCCTGTTTTTATCCAGTACGTAATGGTACTTCTGCTCTTCTGTTTCTCTTTTTTTCTTCTTCAGAATCTTGCTCTGAGAGCACAGCTATGAAACTTCTGAGGTTTGGAACAAACTTGACGTACGCGTCCTCTCAAGGTCATAGTTTACAGCAAGCGCTCTACGATTTTACTTTATAACAACTATAAACTTAATAAGTTGGGAAGCACTTTGCGAACCAACAAATGTTGTAATTTATAGATCATGCCTGTAAAAACGGTGTGTACCTGCACATGCAGAAATTAATAATAATACTAATAATAAATTAGCGTTCTCTTAATTTCTATCAATGTTTCCGCACTGGAAACATAATATCAACCAGTGAATAGGTGAACATAGAAATGAAATCAGGCCCATACAAAATAGACTTTTATATTCAATTCATCTCGATATGTGCCTCTTCAGTTGCTTATCCGGCAATCATGTTTTTTCTGACAGACGTATCAAAGTGCTAAGTAGTAAGTCATTTCATGTCGATTGCAATTTTACGGCTTTTTATTCAAACACGCAAAATGACTAGTCTATGCTTTAAAGACTAACCAACGACCACTCGAATAAAGGCCTATAAATCAAAGAGTGATAATCATCATGCAAAGCCAATCACCTAAGAACTTCTTCAGATACAAAACTTGAAAAACCTTATGTATTGATACGCAATAGTATGTTTATATTTGCTTACAGGTTATTTTATGGAACCGAAAACATTTCTTTTTGACCGCTTCACAATACGAGTGTAGACATAGCAACAATTTTTGAAAACAGGATAAAATAAGAAAAACGAACTAACTTGATATAAACAAGAAAATCAATGAAAAAAAACAAACACACGAGCAACTTTCCCAAAAAAACATATACAGAGATGTTGTCACTTTTTTCGTTTTCTTACTACAATAATGACAAACTCTTTGTAGACATACCTCAAATAATACCAAAAGATCATAAATTTTGTTTTCACTTAAAATCGCAATTATACATAAAGAAATACTAACGTCTTCTTTCTATAGAAAAGAAAAACATAAACAGCTCTGGAGAGAAAAAAAAGCATGGAGAGTATGTCACAAAAAAATACAAGAGAAAATAGGATTAACAAAATATGAAAGAAAATGAAATGTACGTACTTGACTTGTCTTGTTTTTTAGGGTTTATATTTTGAATAATAATAATTAATCACTAAATGTATGAATGTGAATGAACTATCAGTGGGAAATGTGACAGAAGTGGTGGATGGTAAACACAATTATTTACATAGACTGGATCCAATGGACAGATAATATACAAACGTACACACACAAGGAACCAGTAAACTAAATTATTTAGAAGGGAAACATTAATGTGCATATACGAGATGATAATGTAATTTTTAAGGCGCTTGGAAAAACTAAGAAACATGAAGATGTGAATAAATTGCGAGTAAAAGAGAATGAAGATACTGATTTCATGAATGAGAGAATGAAGAAGGAAGTGAAATCAAATGCATGCATGTAAATATTCTCATCTTTCTATCGAAGAAAAACGTTACAAACGTAGAGCGATCCACTGATATTCAATAGTTACAAACGTTAATAAGACGTGTGTAAAAGCAAAGAGAACTTAGATAATATGCTCGATGTAGCAAAAACGGATAATAATGTGAACTGGATTTTCTCAACAAAAAGAAAAGAAAAGAAAAAGCACGGAAAAAATGTAATGAATGCTTAAAATTATGAAATAGACGGAGAAACTTGGGAAATAGTCACATTAATTCCTAGGTTACCATTTTCAGCAAATGAATGAGCAGTATTAGAATCGAACACTAAACAGTCAGACACAGCGATTGCAGATTGAACACCATCATGAATACTACGTGGACAAGCTTCCCAAGTTAATCGTCGACGATGCCCGTTTAACTCAAGTCTATTAGACGGAAATCAGAAACAATAGTACACATAAAATAAAAAGGAATGATTTCCTTAAAGAATAACATGAATTTCATGTAAAATTACATGAAATATAGAAGATCATTCATATATACAGAAATGAACAAAAGTATACAAATGGTCGAATCATCTGTTGTTAGCGGGGTACAGATTGGGTTAGAACACGTTCCGTGCAGGATTGTGTTGGTGCACACTGATCGACTATTTCCTAACTAATCAGCACTAGTGGATACTTGGAGAAATCTCTAGAAGTTTCTCGTGTAAAAACTATAAATATACATACGTTTTTCTTGTTGTAATTCCTACTTCCATCTACCCTTGTTATTTGATACATACTTTTGTTCCTGTTCAACCGTGTTCTGATTTGGGGATTTGTCGAGTGAATTGGTGTCCAAGGATACTAAGCAATAGGAATAGCTAGGTAGTAATAAGAGAAGTTATAACATTTATAGAAATTATTTTTCAATAATAATGATAGTTTCAAGGACCTTCGTTGTAAAAATGCAACTTAAAGTCAATTATTTCAATAGTTTAGTTTCACGGTACAGGATTCCAAGTATAATTCACAAAGGCTAAGAAAATAGTCAATTATTTAATACACAAGTGAAGTAGATGTAAACAATGGAAAATTAGGAATAGTTTAACCTTAGTCCATGGCACGGGTACTTTGTGTAGGTTTTAATCTCATACATCGCAATTTGGTTAAGTTCACGAAAAGTGGACAAACATGTTAGTGACAGAACTGAGGATCATAGATCATAAATCCCTTTTAACCGTTTTTGCAACTGAAAAACTATGTACAGGTTTTTGCACTATGGACTGAGTTGAACCAACAGCACCAATAGGTGCTAGTATTCCATAGTTATTAGGGGGGTTTGAAAAAATGTGCTGAAAGCTGATAACCTCTTATAAAGGAGAGATTATTGGATGAGTGGAACACTGAAGAACAGTTTAACTGGTCTGTAGCTACACTCTAGTTCCTATGATTTGACTGTAAATTAGATGAAACCAGCCACTTAACTCTTGGCAAAGCTAGGAAGGATATGAACTATTAATACCTTACAGATGCTGTCGAGAATTTAAGTCTATCCTGGGAGTAAGTCAGTTTAAGAATAAAGAATGAAACTTGCAGTGAGGATATCTTTACTTATTTCAGATGCATCAAAGCCGATAACTGGTCCACTATTGAATTATTATATACATAAAGATCATTCGACCAAAACTCACCAACCTACAGTGCCAAAGGAACAGGTGAGGTGCATGGTTGTCCACCTTGCACGACTAGCATACTGAAGAGCTGTCTTCTATTTTATGGTTATGATACATGATGCTAAATAAGTTGCAGCTAATCAACCAAAGGTGTCTTTGAAGCATGGACGTACGATGAAATTACCAACTGAGAAATGTTGAAATCAAGTAATAAAATTGTAGATAAGGAGATGAAGTCAGATGATGATATTAAGAACTTGCGCCGACATGGTTAAGACATACGTTACGCACAACAAGTAACTACCTATCTCTACGTACGATGACACATGAAGTTCAAATAGGAAAAAAAAACTAGATGTAGTTACGCTGATATATGATATATAACTGCTTTCAGTGGTTACTGACCATTGTTTTGATCATGTTAAGGAGACACATCCATCAAATGTGAAGTCCATGAAATGATGGATATTATCTTTCGGAGAGAAGAGATGTGCTAAGTTATACGCTCATGTTTCTCTAAGTGATTAATTTTTATGAGAACGAGTACTTAAAGATAGTGTGTGTTTATCACTCACTAAATAAACTAATATTTCAGCTATAAACTAAAAGTATGTTCAAATTATATTTACACAGTATGGCCCTATTGTGCATAACATTTATTAGAAATAGGAGAATTAGGCTGAATTTTTAAAATTACATTCAACAATCCAAAATGTTCCTACCTGTACACAAACTGATCCGCCTGTTTCCGAGTTCCGATGAGTTGGACAAGAGCGAAAAATATCTGATCTGGTACACGTTCCTGTTTTTCTAGAACCAGCATAAAACTATGTCCAAAACAAGATTGCATCATAACCCAGTCTACAGCACCTGGAAGACTTATGTCAGTAGCCAAAAATACAATATCTTCGCCTGAGACACAAAAACAAATGACATTACAATAATAATTCAAGGAAAAAAGTTCGATGTTACTTCTGGTTTTAAAAATACGACATTCATTATTGAATTATTGAAAGGAAGACAATAAGGAAACCCATTCATATAGACCATCACGGAGTGGATACTGGTGTTGTGTATGCTTAATGCTGACTAAACTTTATTGATCGGGTCGCAATACGACAACTAGTCTTAAAAACTCGACATCGCGACACTGATAACCCACTGTTTGTTGAGTGCAAAAAATTTATGTCTCGAAGTTCGGAGGTAGCATTGTTGGAAATGCTACTTATTTAAGGGAAACAACTTACTAACATTTCATAACAGTAAGATATTGCTTGCATCTACCTTTTCGGTCAATACAGACCAATTCGTGTAAAAATAGGAAAGCTTGATCACCACCACGACTATAATAATATCGGATATTTGTATCATGTTCGTCTCTAACTCATCAGCAATAAGCACTTACTGTGATAATGAGATCAAGAAAAAACCACATTCAAGTGTGGATATCAGAGATGGTACAGACAGACGGACAATGAATTTTTGGTTGGTGGAGTCATTTATTAGGCCTTGAAGTACATGGTTATTTAACGGTTCTGATTACATTTTATGATAAAATGAATGCAAATATAATCAATTCATAAGAAGAATAACTTGAAACTTATAAGTAACCTTTAACATTCCTAGAAAGATGATCATTTCCTAATATTCCACCTAAATATACACGAGATTAATGGGTACAATTATTCAAAAAATACCTGTAACTGATAAACCTAAAGTAGAAATGAAACCTATATATCTGTAAATAATACTAATAAATAATCTGGTCAAAGGAAAAAATCCCAGATAATTCTTACCTTGTAAAGTTGTAATGCTTTTATGGTGATGCACGAGATGGGGCATAACTTGTTCCAATTCACCAAGCCACTTACATGAAGCACCAGGACACGGACAATCATAGGGCCTAAAATGATTATTTACCAAATAAACGCTTGTAATGAATATTTGATATAATTATGAAAAAAAAACAGTACATGTTACAACCAGACACTTTTTAATATATATCAGCACATGCTTGTTTACTAATCACTAATCAGTGAACAATTATTACCACCTTGAAAAATGAACTAAAAGTATCACAAACGGTTTTCAGGGAGGAAAGAGATTAAATGGGTTTGAATTATTGATCTTAACGTTGAGAATTAGGTGAAAGAAACACAAAACCATATAATGAAAATTTTATGACTGTAACTAGATAGTGGAGTTGAATCACTGTAGTGTCTAGACAAGTTTAGTGATCTACTTGAAAAGAACAGATAACAATAAGTAAGCTTAATACAAAACTATGAGGAAAATGCGAATCACGAACCTGGAAAATACCATATCACATAAAGAAAAGTTGAATACTGCGAAAGTAGCATAATTTCTTATGATCAAGAATTCACGAATATTGAGTTTAACTCACAGAGTGATTTACAATTCATCTCAAAATTGCTCGGAAACTATTTAATAAGGCACAAATGGACAGAGAAATGTAAAATGGTATAGGCCTCCTAATGCCCTGGTACGGCCGAGTGGGGAGAGTCCGCTCTCCCTCTCGAAATACTCTCACACGGCCGCGCGTATACAGCCTCTACCAGGGAAGTCCTACTCACTGCCTTCTCGTGGCGGGGGTGTTGTTTACGAAAATGAGAGGACGAAAAGAGAATGTCCGGCGCTTTAACCGGATTCCAAACCAATGGTGCACATGGGCTCCAGTATCCTACGGGAACAAATGGCGTATGAACCACTCGTTGGTCACCGGCTACCATGGGATTGCATCTCCTTACGATGCTCCACTGCCTTGTGGGTTAGACCTTTAGGTCAAAGGCTCGGGGAGTGGCCCCCTAAGATAACCACCTGCTTCGGTTTGGGCACCCGGGTAGTATCACAGCCCACACACAAATGATGAACTATGTCTATGGAAATTACTTTTCTCGCTTCGAAAAACAATCAATTGATTCAAATTATTATCATTACAATTATTGTCGTTATTATTATTATTATTATTAGTATTACTATTATTATTATTATTATTATTATTATTATTATTATTATTATTATTATTATTATTATTATTATTATTATTATTATTATTATTATTATTTTCCACATTATTCACCCTCTTTTATACTTATACAGCGGCTCGTCTTTGGTGGAAATTTCGACTGTATCTAAACGTTCTCGTGTCACTGTCCGGTTGAAAATTGTATGTTACCACTGAATACGAGGACTGAAGCAGTTTTTCTGAAACCACGTGCAACATTCAAACTGGCTGCCTTCAACGTTCGCACACTTATGCAGGTCGGACAACAGATAGGGCTGGCCATGTCTTTGGAAAGTCTTAATATTGATGTTTGTTGTCTATCCGAGACCCGTATTCAAGACTCTGGCGAAGTACTACAAATTCGATCTCCATCTGTCACTTCGAAAAGCTTGTTTTACGTGCGCTTATCTGGGGACCCTGTGGCATCTTCGTCTGGTCTCGCTGGCGTTGGTGTCGCACTAAGCGATGGAGCTGAGGCAGCACTAGTCGATTGGATCCCCATTAACAGTCCATTATGTGCTGTTAGATTAGAAAGTTCCATCAGAGTGAGAAGAAATCGGCGTGAGAAACGATGTCTTTTCGTCATCTCCGCCTATGCCCCGACAGATTGCAGCCCGGATGCAATCAAGGATGAGTTTTACCACCAGTTATCTGTTCTTCTCCAGAAAGTGCGTTCGACAGATATTGTAGTACTAGCCGGAGACTTGAATGCTCAGGTCGGGCGTCTAGGCACAGAAGAGAGTCGTTTAGGTGGCCGATGGGGACTCGTTGGTCGCAGGTCAGATAACGGGGACCGTCTACTACAACTTTGCACAGACCACAACCTGTTTCTGGCTAGCACTAACTTTCGACATAGTCATCGCCGATGTGCCACCTGGCGTCCTCCCTTTGCATCTCAAGCCTGGACTCAGATTGATCACATCGCGATCAGCTACCGCTGGCGTGGTTGTGTACAAGACTGCCACTCCTTTTGGAGTACCTATCTGGACTCTGACCATGCCTTGGTCTGCGCCAATCTTGCCTTACTTTTCAGTGGACAACGAAGTGAACGCCATCAACGGATTGATGTTAGCAAGCTGGTTGCAACTTCTGTTGCTGGTAAGTATCGAACCGAGCTAGCCTCTAGGCTAGCTACCACTCCACCGAAAAGTATAGATGAGCATTGGTTGCAATTGCATGACGCCATGAAAATGGGGGGTACAGTCAGTTGTGGGTTCGCGAAACATCCCGCTTTTAAGCACTGGGTTTCTTCAGGTTCCTTACAACTCATTGAAGCCCGTCGGTCTACTCCGGGTGACCGTGAGTTTGACCATAAACGAAGGATGTTACGTAAGGAAATTGGGCAAAGCTTGCGTAAGGACCGAGAAGCCTGGTGGTCGAAGCGTGCTAATGAGCTGGAAGCAGCAGCTGCATCTGGTAATTACCGGAAGCTCTTCCAGCTCATCCGAGCCACTGGCAGCAAGAAGTCTGGTGTGAGTGAAACAATCTGTGAGGATGACGGAATGCCAATCACTAATATACATCCACGTCTTGAACGATGGGCAGAATCTTTCGAAGGGGAGTTCAACTGGCCTGCTGCTCCGGCAACATCGGTCAGACTGTCCTGCCCTCCATGGCCGGTGACGACTGATCCACCAAACGAGGAGGAAGTCCGCAAGGAACTCCAACTCTTGAAGCGTTACAAATCACCTGGCCCAGATGACTTACCTCCGGCTCTTTTTAAAGATGGTGGTGACTTTTTGACTAAGGAATTGACGACGTTGTTTACAAAGGTTTGGGAACTAGAGAGTGTACCAACGTCATGGAATGAGTCGATAGTTGTCCCTATCTTTAAAAAGAATTCACGTCGCTTCCGTAACATTCTCAGGGGGTAAGTCTATTTCCGATTACATCCAAGCTATTGGCTTCCGTCATACTTCGTAGGTTGTTCAAAACCCGAGAAAGATTGACTCGCGAGGAGCAGGCTGGGTTTCGTTCTGGTCGAGGATGTATTGATCATATCTTCACCCTCCGCCAAATGTTAGAACACCGTCATACTTATCAAAGGCCAACAATCGTAGTGTTTCTTGACATCAGAGCTGCCTTCGACTCGTTGGACAGGACTGTTCTCTGGGATTGTCTTTTGAAGAAGGGTGTGCCTGAGAAGTTTATTAACATCCTAAAAGCCCTATATACAAACACCTCAGGCAGAGTGAGGGCATACAACCACCTCTCTCCATTGTTCCATTCGAGTAGTGGGGTTAGGCAGGTTTGCCCAATCTCACCATTCCTCTTCAACTTTGCCATCGATGACATTCTGGAAACAGCTCTGATATATATAGGTAATGGCTGTATGGATCGGCTGCCTGGAGAAAGACTTCTCGACCTTGAGTATGCGGACGATATTGTCTTACTGTGCGATAATGCCCAAGCCATGCAATCTGCACTTAATCAGTTGGCAATCAGTGTCCGTAGGTATGGTATGTGCTTTGCACCTTCCAAGTGCAAAGTACTTCTACAAGACTGGCAGGATTCCAATCCTGTACTCAGCCTGGATGGTGAGCAGATAGACGTAGTTGAGAAGTTCGTGTATCTGGGTAGCTGCATAAGTGCTGGTGGGGGTGTGAGTGATGAGATCAATGCACGAATAGTGAAAGCCAGAGCGGCTTATGCCAATCTGGGCCACCTTTGGCGCCTTCGTGATGTTAGTCTGGCTGTAAAAGGTCGGATCTACAACGCGTCGGTGAGAGCAGTTTTGCTCTATGCTTGTGAAACCTGGTCTCCGAGTTGAGGACGTTAGACGACTCTCTGTGTTCGATCATCGCTGTCTCCGAAGTATTGCTGACATCCAGTGGCAACACCATGTCAGTAATGCAGAGGTTCGGCATCGTGTGTTCGGGCACAGAGATGATAATTCAATTGGTGTCACCATCTTGAAACACCGACTTCGGTGGCTTGGACATGTTCTACGAATGCCCTCCCAGAGAAGTCCATGTCGTGCATTATTTGCCGACTCTGGGACTGGTTGGAAGAAGCGGAGAGGTGGTCAGTGCATGACATGGTGTCGTGGCATGAAAGAAAGCTGCAAAGGACTGGCTTCTGTTGGTCCTTCACGACTCCCTGGTTGGGGTATGAGAGATGGTGCTACACAGTGGCTAGAGACGTTATCAGATATGGCTCAGAATAGAAGCCAGTGGCGATCCTACTGTAACCTTCTTTTACTTTCTTCATAAAAAGTGGTTGTGTCTCCCTTACCTGAAAGATTTCTTCTGACTGTACCTTCTCGTTCCCTCATTTCTACCATACTACCTTACACCAATCTCCTCGTTATTGTTCTCTTTTTTTGCGCTCCTTAGCTTTTTTTTCTATTTCTCTTTGAATTCTCATTGTTTTGTGTGGCACATATATATTGGCGCTCTCTTGTACCAATATTCATGTGTTCAAATAAATAAATAGGTCGATACACATTTCACCAACATAGACAGAAGTATAGTAGTCTTAAAACACATTGGGAAATGAGAGAAACAAACGAAAATGATCTATGCTAAGTAACATCAGTCATTTCTACGTGCACAAAGTATATACCAACCACTTCAATGGGCGAAAACGCTCATAGCTTGCCGTTAGGCAAATTGTTCTTTTAATGCTTCCACTATTAACAATAAATATCTGAGAGTCTATGAGTCTAATTTTTGTATATACTCTCCAATCTACAATAGATTTTAGCAGTATGACAGAATGAAGCAGACTACTATGCTGCATGTTTGTTTCGCGGTAAATGTATCAATACTGCCTCCGTAGTGGTGTTAGTAAATAGTAATCAGAATTCCTGTATTCAACTGAAATGTTATCGAAAATAATCTAAGCAGAAAATATGGAAATAGATACATAGTGGGATAATATACTACAAAACCGCAACAGACATATGTACCCTTTATGAACTGCTCTTAAAATGCAGGTTAATGATATCAGGTAACCAAATCAATTTCAATAAATAGGATGGAGTTTTCACTATTTAATGGATAGTTTGATTACGAAGTCACAGAAATGATCAGTGGGCACAAACACATTAACTACCACTGCTATTAACGGTACAGAACACTTTTACGGAATCTGACGAGTTCGGAACTTGACTTGGTCAACAGTTTAAAATAGTACTATGAAAACCTCTTTACCTATAGGAATCGAATCGTTTACATACTTAAAGTTGCTTACAAGATTTTCGGATACTAGGCAGACTGATGGGGAGTCAAAAGCAAATAAAACTGAATACAATAACATACTTCAGACAAATTTAACTTGATGATACAGAAATTCTCCTAAATGGGCCAAACAAATAATTTTAAATACAGACTAGTATTCGCTATTGTTGATGGCTCTTTTAATCCATCTGCTTGCAGTATAGAGCATTACAATGAGTTATTACAAACATATCTTTTGCCTGTCCTCAGATTAGACTGAAAAAAGTCCCCATCATTCTATTAATTCTTTAGACAAAAACAAGCATCATCAGCATAGGGCTATATCACACTAACACAAAATATGAATAAAAAAAGAGATCGGAACAACGCAGCAGCAATTGTAAAAAGAAAAAATAAACTTTGGGGACATGGTTTCGAAGGATGATGAAAAGTTAAGTATGAAAGAATACTGGAATTCAAGCTGAAGAGTGGATGCATCTCCGCCACTGTGAACGTCTTCAACCACCGATTACAGTCATCACGCCAAATTCAACTAGTTAGCCTGCGTCTATATGCATGGCTCAGGCCAACAATCGATGACTTCATTAATTAGCATTATTAGTTCGACCGAGCTTTCTTCCAACCTAATTGTGCACTAGCAAGCACGACTTGTTGGGGTAGGTGGTGGTTAGGCATACGTAATACATATGGCAACTGCTTAAAGTTCAGTGTCTGGATATCATAATGGGCTCATAGTTATATATTTTCATGAAATATCGAAGAGACTGCAAAACGAAAATGAGTTAGTGAATACGATAGAAATTAAGACAACCATTGACAGGAGATTTGAAACTAGGGATGTATCTTTAGAAGCGGTCAAGAAATAAAAAACTTACCTATATTCGCAAGCTGCTTCATGTTCTGATTTGGATGTATAATGAAAAGTTTCTGGGCAACCACTAGTGGAGTACTTGCAAGGAAATAATACACTGGAAGCAAGTTTTTCCATTGCGAGGTTCCGGATATTATCTTAGAAAGAAAAGTGAGACGAAGTATCTTGTGAGTGACTTTGGAAGTTGAATCGAGACAATATGCACATTAATTAGGAAAGAATTAGGACATCGAATCCACAGGAAGGACTCAAAATGATTAGTACGAAACAGTATCATTGTTGTATACTAGCAAAGAAAGCACAACCGTTGAAAATCGATCAAGAGACAGATTACAACAAAATTTTAGACAAAAAATACTATATTTAAATTTCCCATTACATAGTTACTTTAGGACAGCTTCCGTAATTGCTAATGTTGACTATGAGTGGTTAAGTTATGCCGATAAACCATTTCGCACATCGTAAGTCTTATTGAGTCTGACAAAATATAGCCGGGGATAAGGTCCTACTTTCATTTTGCAAATTATGCAAACTTATTTACTAACTACAGGGTAACGTCAGTCAGCTACAACGTAGGACCAGGCACATATATGCATCGGTCCAGGTTGCCATACCGCATTAGCACAGCAAGATGAACAGCGGATTCATAGGAGTGGTTAGGTCAAAGGTTGCAATAAGGATATAGTATAGGAAGAAAGAATGAAGTGATTTTAGTCTCTTGGTTTAAGGGAAGACAGGGAGTGTATACACCGACGCCATTGTGATCGATTCTGAGCCATGTCACCAAGAGTCTCCAACCATTGGTTACGAAAGTCACGCGGACCCCAACCAAGTAGTCTGCATCTACCAACATGGCTCAGACTAGAAGTTAGTGACTTCAAGCACTGATGCCACGTTTTGGTTTGGCCGCCCCTAACTTTCTTCCAACCATCCCCTACCCCGGTTAGCATTGCACGTCGTGGTAATCGGTGTTCAGGCATACGTAATACGTGGCCCAACCATCTCAGTCGAGAGTGGGGAGGGTCCACTCTCTCTTTCGAAATGCTCTCGCATGGCGTCAAGTGTTTAGCCACAGAGCAGGTGTTGTTTACGAAATTGGGAGGATGAAAAGCGAATGCCCGGCGCTTTAACCTTGTAAGTAGACACGGAGGATCCACCTAGGTGAGTTGAAAAACCCTGGTTCCAAACCAATCGTGCACAAGGGCTCCATTATCTTGAAGGAACAAATGGCGTATGAACCTGTTGTTGGTCATCGGCTACCATGGGACTGCATCTCCTAACGTTGTTCCATTGCCTTGTGGACTAGACCTCTAGGTCAAAGGCTCGACGGGGTTGCCTCCTAAGAAAACCACCTGCTTCAGTCTGGGAGGCCGGGAAATATTCCATCCATCACACCAATCGAATCATTCGTGTGGCACATATCTGTCTGATACCTCCTTGTAACAATGTTTGTGTGTTTAAATGCATAAATAAATAAATACAACTATTAAGTCATTGTCCTATGTCCTACTTAAGATACAGAAGAAATGCGAATGACTATAAAAGGAAAAGTATGTTGTGCACCAGTTAGTTCTGCACTACGTTACGTACACCAAACAGCCAACAAAAGTAAAGGTGACGTTACAGGCACCGATGCTAGACACAGTCCAGAATATACGTGGATCAGCAGACGAGCGTATGAATCTCCACTGATTAAAGTGGCTGGTATACTAAACAGGTCGTGACTGTTTAATAACATTCGAACATAAAAAAGTGAACAGACAGCAAAACGGTTTCAGTTCATGAAATTATTAAATGATGGTTTAAGTAGTATAGACAGCTTTAGGTAGTCTTTGAAAAGTCACGAAATAAATGTAACAAATAGTCTGACCATATGGGTGGTAAGAGACCAAAATGATTCGCATCGGTACAAACTTGTATATACTCTTAGTCTTCTCGTGGTATACAAACGAGTAATTGATTTCGGTGGTGTTTTGTTCTCTGAGCTGGATGGTTTGGTCATGGAGCTTTCATCGCTCTTCTGAACGACATCATCAGCACAAACTTCAGATAGAAGTGAAGTGTTCGAATTTCTCCATATGTGTTTCACAGCTTGTTCTGTGTTATTGATTATTGATTATATATATTGATTATTGATTATATATTCATTTTCTGATACATTGTTGCCGATTACCATCAATCACATTTTCGGCTTAATCTCACTGCTTTTCGGTCACTTGACTGCTACTGTCGAAACAAATGTGAAGTATCAACTGGAACCTACCTAGATATAAAAAGTTTTAAATTACATCTAAGAATGTACACTTAAGTCTTGTTTTGCACCGACTAAGCGGCCTATTACGGCGTGAAGTAGGTACACTCTGCAAAAATCGGCAATGCATCTAGTCAGCATCAAAAGTTGACAGACCTTAAACAAACACTGTTTTTGTCGTAATTGCGTAAACAACCGATTTGAGAGAGCTAATACAACCATATATATAAGAAAACTGGTTTACAACCTTAATCACTTAATTACCCTTTTTAAAACGAACATCAGTACAGACTTTTCTTTAAGTGATACCTGATTGAAGTTGGGTGGGTACGGAATATTGAACATTAACAAGCCTCTCCTTGATGCAATTATGTGATCTTGCTTTATATTTGTTGTCTCGAGACAGGGTTAATATATTCACGTACTAGGAGTCAGATGACTCCCGAACAAGACAGAACTCAGAAAGGTTGAGGTAAGGAATCAATATACTATCCAGACCTACGATAAAAATCCTAGTTATTACCTGCGACATGCGATTGACTGGTGTGACAGAAAATAAGTTATGACAGTCTAACGCCCTATTTTGGCAAAATAAACACTTTTACAAGGTGTCATTGAGACCGAAAATGAGTAAGGTAACTACTTAAATTTGATATCAAAAGTGTTAATTACTGAAGCAGTAAGTGACACTAAGTACAATAACATCGTTTTCTTGGCAGAGTGATAGAGAAGTCACTATGCTGACGATAATGGGTCAACTTAAGACTAAATTAATGATGACCTGGATGTTACTACGCATGGGAAAATTTATGCACTGTATCGTTAATAGAATATTAAAAGGCTCAAAACAGCATATACCATAGGCTTTCTGTGCCACAAATCTTCAGGTGTGATAAGAGCAAAAAAAGCCAATAACTAATAGGAGATATTAACATTTGAGTGGTCGATTAGTGCAAGACGAGACGTTTCATGTCAAAAATATTATCGTCTGTGCATAACACAACCCAAACGTGTGCAAAATTGTGAACTGTATCAGTAGCACCCTTGCTACTGGGAACATTAAAAGTTATATACCGAAATGATGTATCAAGCTTACCTAAGTTGCCTCTACAAGTTGGGCATGATGAGAGTTTTGACCGGCACGATGCGCAGACGATATGTCCACTTTGACATTGCATAATTGGTGGTAGAGCATAATCCATGCAAACCGGGCATTCGAAAAGACTAGCGAGGTCTATTGAGCTGCCATCTGAAGTGTTATGTGGAAGAATATTACAAACAGTGTCCGATGCCGATGACATCGAACCTGGTAGGGACATCGAGCACGTACTAGCTGTGCCGGAGTTATTAACCAAAGGTGTTGTTGCTCCTACTTCTCTGTGAGGCATATTTATGTGAGGCATTAATTTTATTCCATGATGTAGAGCATGATTATGATTTATGGGTAAAAGTGCCATTGAACGTCCAACAGCATCTGATGATGTCATTTGACTTCTGTGACATGTCCGTTCCTCAGATAAAATCGTATTGTTTGAGTTAGTCGCACGGCTCGGGACGCTCATGTTTACCTCCGTAATTGAACTATTCATAAAACAAGGAACAAAACCACAAGTACCGCGTTTTATGAGCGATTCACGTTCACAGATTTAAACAAATCCACAACATTGACGAAATACTGTGCTGTTACTTCAGTATTATGTGCAACTAACTGTTATTTGAGAAATATTCGGTTTGGTTCTATTACATATTCCATTTTAGTGTTTCTGATCGCTTGAATATATTGGAAGTTTGAAAATTAAGAACCTCTTAGGATGTAAAGAGTATTTATACACGTTAAATGATCTGAATCTGCTTCTTTGAGTATGGTACCATAGCTTTTCGAGGTGAATAATAGCCTAAATGGTGAATTTTGATTCCAAGAGTTTCAACTGCCTATTGGTAGATTACAAATAACCAATAATAATCATCCTAGTTTTATTTACGTTAGTAACCCCAGATCATTTGCCAAACAAATAACTCCTATTTTCGTCCATGTTCAAAGCCCTAGACCTAAAACTTTACATGAATATATTAATCATTATAAACATTAGTTCCTAAGATCATGATCAAATGCATTCTAACCTCTTCTATAAAATCTCTTAATCACCAATGGAACAAATATCTAATATATTGGAACACGTATGTACTATTTTCACTGTAAATACTCCCGGTTGTCATTGCTTCCTTAAAATTTTTTTGAATGCGAAAGGAATTAGGCGCGACTCACTTAGTGCATATCTGACTTCTAAAAGGGAAATAATAATAAATGCAAGAACCGAAACAAGCAAAACAGATGAAATCATTTGTCGTGAAGTTCAAAATAAGCTTACTGTGCCTCAGAATGTGATGGCTGAAAACTCTAAAATCATGTTATTACGAAATGGTCTCCTTCTAATTGATATTCCATATATGTCTTTTGATTTAAGCAAACCAAAACAAAGTAAAGAATGTGATGGTATAACATTACAGGAATGCAAAAGTTCTGTTCCAAATGAGCCTAATATCGAACTGGATAATGGTGAAAAATTACAAACACAACATCTTGATCGACATAAAACTATTCGCGAAGGGAATAAACTCATTTTCGTGATCCCCTTAGACAAAAATTTCAAGGAAGAGAATATAAAGGTTACTGTTGTACAACGTTCAGTATGCATAACAATTACTAACCTTGATTATTCAATAGTGAAACATAACTCTAATAAATCTGATTCCAAACATCTTGTCCAAAGAACATATTATAAAGAATATGAGGCTTCTGATTGTATTCCTGATCCTGAATCAATTAATTTTTATGTTGATAATAATCGTCTTATTGTTAATTTAAACATAACCAAAACGTCACAACAATCTCAGATAACATGAAAATTCCTCTTATACAGAACCTCATTTTATAAATAGTAACAGTGGGAAAGTGTTTGATTATTTTGAATTTTATTTTTTCAACATGGACTGTAATTTATCGTACTACTCTGTTACAGTAAGTAATACATCATTTCATTAACGTTGTATTATTCTATTATTATTTGAAAGAAAATACATAAATGCTGTGGAAGTTTATAAATTGTTCAAACATATTTTTGTTTTATGCACAATATTAAAATCCTAATCAAAGCTTTTGGATCTTAACTAACAACGTTGTTTTATGTAAAGTTGACACAATTTGTTTAGCAAACAATGTATCAAGTATATTATTTATCATACCACAGAAACATCGTATGGATTGTGTCAATTAAGTGGTATATTGCTTGAACTAATGTAAATCGTATGACAGAAGACGATTACTTAAAAAAACCGAGTTACTGACAAAAGAAAGAGGATACCGGCTAACTAAAAGAGTCTGTTTCATTCAAAAACATGATGTACACTTAGATACTATATATATATATATATATATATATATATATATATATATATATATGCAGAGAGAGTGAACAGGAATTTTCTTTGGATACGGATTGTGTATTTTACCCCATAATCAGACGAATATGAGACTAGAATTTCACTTTTATTACCATAAACAAGTATTATTGTAATTTCCTTCGGAAAACAAACATTCTTTACCAAACAGTGTTATTTTTGGTAGAGTTTAATATTTATTTAGCCAAAACTGGTTGCTACCGTATGTCTAATTTAGCATGCGAAAGTTATTATCAGTTTAATTGGTCGATTCTTAGTAACTAATATTTAGTTTCGATAATGATATTAGAAGACGAAGATTATCAGAACTATGTGATATATTAGCGCAATACATTTCGAACAATCTGGTCACAAATATACATGTTAAGAGCATTTATATATAAAAATAAAAGGTCAACTAGACAGGAAACGGGGTAAGAGGAGATAAGGATAATGATTTTTTATTTTTATATATAAATGTTCTTAACAAGTATATGTGTGACCAGATTGTTCGAAATGTATTGCGCTAATATATCACATAGTTCTGATAATCTTCGTCTTCTAATATCATTATCGAAATTTATCAAAGGGACTAACTGTTTTAATATTTAGTTATTAGCCAAATGCAGTTCTGACTATTACATAGTCTGGTCAGGCTCGAATTGGAAAACGTTGATTGTTCCATTTTTAACTAATCAACTTTAGTGGAGGAATCAAGAAGCTAGGAGTTTCTTATGTAGATCCCATATAAACCTGTGGTATTTGTATGAACTAGTGATTCCTTTATACTTGATGACTGCCTGATTTCGAATTCCAAATTCAATAGGTTCATTTGTGCTCACCTAATTCTGCTTGGTTTAAATTATGCTATTTCGAGAATTCATAGTTCGTACAATAATTCAAATACTTCTAATAATCACAAAACCTTAATGTTTTTATTACAATGTCTTTGTTGTTCGGGTTTATTAGAATATACAATACCCGTTTCAATTTTTATTTTGGTTTAAAGGCAGTCAAGCGACACATAGTTTCAAGAGAATATTAGTGATGAATGAACTCCAACAATCAATTCACACTGTGAATAACTGACTCGAAATGACGGTCCACATTCATTCATGTTTGTTTTTTGGGGATAATTAAATAAAGTCGAAAATTTAGATTTTTTTCAGATGGCGTTCTCTAGTAAAGCCTATCTACAAATTCAAGGTTACTGTGCTTGATGTTGATTAAATCATGGAACTCTTCTCAAAAAGTCATTAGTACAAACTCCAGGGAGAAATGGGGTATTTGAATTTCCTCAAATATATGGCGAAACAATGAAAGTTTAAAGACTAGATCATTGAGCTAAGAGAACGAAAGTCCTCGTCGAATAGAGAGGTGAGATTATCACGATAAATATAAAGTTTGTTAAAGTAGTAAGAGTGGTAGTAAAAATGTTCAGGCACAAATAATATGATTTGAATGTCATCCATTAATCGAATAAAATGTATAAGCTAATTCTGAAACTTGCGATCTAAAAGAAGACAAAGAGTGAGCATAGCTCAGCTATCTGGACTGATTCTTAATAATCTCACTTCAAGTCTCTGAACGATGGTTACAGTAATCGAGTCAACCCTAACCAGATAGTCTGAATGTATCAAAACTGTTTAATCTAGCAATCAGTGTCTTCGTAGGCTCGAAAATAATAACAAATCACGTGTTCAATGAGTGCTACACTTACGAGAGAACGTATAATGATGATCACCTTCCGCAAATTCCCTATGGTATTAACAAAAATATGAGTTTTAAAGCCACTTTACCATATTTGTAAATGTACAAAAATTTAATAAGTATGACAAACGTACAAAATTAGTACTGTCATTGATAATAAATTTAAAGTAACATCAGTCAACTTTTATATGACTTCAAAAAGAAGAAACACGTTTTCTCAAGAAGCTGGGGAATATTCGTAGCTCATGATGAGGATATTGGAGATATTATGGTATCTGAGCCGTATGGATTGGTTGAGAAGCTGTCATTGTTCTCTAGAACAATATCATTAGTACATACTTTAATGAGAAGTGAACTACTAGAATTGCTACACAAGTGAATAACAGTTTGTTCTATTGACCTGAAATTTAGTTGGTTGTTATCCATTACTGTGTGGTCATTGCTTGTAAGTTTATTTTCTTTCTAACCTAAACTTTGACCTTTCAGTTGGTAATCGTCTTTCTTCTCTTTGAAGTACACGCTGATGATCATTTTCCGAAGAATAATGTAAATTTCATAACTAATTTATTCAGCTCTGTTCCTATATATCATAAATGTATAATCATTTCATAAAATGTATAGGCGAGATTAGAAGTTCATAGGACTTCAATGATCAAAACTTCATACCTGATCAAACTAATGTTAATGAATTTTCATAGTAATAGTGTGGTGTGGGTTACTTATATCCACACAAGTAGTATATGACGGTGGTCAGGCATAGAATGTATTTCAGTAGAAGGTCGATGAGGAAAGAACGGGAACGGAACGCGATTGGTATGAAAATACATGGACAATGAAATCTGAGATAATGGATTGGTGTTTGCAACAGGAACAGTCAAGTTTAAGACAATTGATTGATATTTTGCAAACTAACGATTTACTATATGGTTCTCAGATTTTATTGAGATGCTCTGTAATTTTGTGCTCAAATACATTCAGTAGTCCCCGTCCATGTTCTGTTCACTATATTGATAATAATGATCGCTTTATTCAGTGAAGTAAATTTAATTACAGTAAATAATTCTCAACACAAAATACCAATTCCTATAAAAGATTCAAATTACATATGTGTTTAACTTGTGAATATTCACAAAAAAGTGTATACAGGAACTTGTTTTTAACAGTAAATAGCTATCATCCACATTTATCCATAACTGCTTTACACTAGTATGCTGACAAGTGTCAAGTAGTACGAAACCTGGGTCCAGGGCATCCTGTTGACTACCTCCAACCACCATCTAGTGTCTTGAAGTTCGTATTGAAGATGCTCACTTTGATATTGCTTGAAAGTTGTTTTGAGTTCTATATGTTGTTTAACTGTAGGAATGCTGTCCTTGCTTTTCCAATCCTCGCCTATACGTCTACATCAGATCCTCCTATATGTTGCTGTTCAGGAACGTGAAAGTTCCCATCATCAAGTGTCATTGCGTTGGTATTCTCTGTATTGTATTCGAGAATCTTGTTTTTTTATTGTGTAATTTTGAGGCATACTGATGCAGACAGAGGCTTCTGCTACACTAGTTGTCTTCATCTGCATTTCTTGGTGTATATGGGATAGAAGGGCTAAGCCATAAATAACATTAGGTTAGAGAAATAATAATTTAATTATAAATCTAAATAAATGTTTGATGGAAGATTACATAATGTACATAACTATATAAATTAAGTAAATAAAATAGTCAACTAAAGCGGGTACTCATTAAATTTATGATATGTTTACCATTATCCCGCTAATAATAATGGTAATGAAAACAGTGATACAAAGATATGTAAATACTATGAAAACACAAGTGGATATGTTGTATATGTAATTGAGAAATTATGTGATCTATAATTTAAATAACTACTAACTTATTAGGCCTGAAGTTCCCCAAGATAAAAAGAAGAGGTTGGCCATCTTTCTTTTGAATATAAAACTCACACCTTTGAATCCAAACAGATATCTCTTCTGCCATTTGAAGGACTTTGAGTCTGACAGATTTAAGCAGATAACTGATGCTACGATTTATCAGTGTAAATGACTGATTCATATTGGTTTTATGACCTATTTACACGAAATGGGCTTGAACAGAACAGCTAACAGTTTTGACTGAATTTTAGCTTGATCAAAGTCGGTGTTCGTTTGTATGAAAGTGAAGATTCTTAGAACACTTGTCGGTGTAACTTGCTCCACTAAAGCAGTCAAATCGATAAATAAATAAAGAGGTGGGTAGTCTAGGTATTTTTTTCCAGTATCCAAATCCCCATCCGACGCGCAGAAAAAAAATTAATTGAAGTCTTCTTTTATCGAGATTTTGAGGAATTTCTCAACATAAATTTACCATTACCATTTTTCTGGCTGCTTAAAATGTATCTAAGTATTGCTTGTACAAAACTCAATATCAGAACTAGGAATTCCCAGAGTTATCTAGTGCATTCTCTGGCGGTTCACAGTGTACTTGCTTAGATGTTGTGCATTCGAACTTGGATTCGGAAGTTATGCATGAGCAAAACAGTTATTTTTTTACATAAACACCACACTGTGTTAACTCTTGATGGTACATATAAGTGTATGTATTCTTAAAATAAAGAAACCTTACAAACTAACCTGGTTCTATTTTGTCTAGTTAGCATCAGTCGTATCAGTTGGTTTTCCGTATGAAATTTTAACACCCTTATTATAGCTTTGCGAATTTTCCTGACTAATCATCATCTGTTTTGTTATGCTAGTTTGGATTGATATAAAAAGTGGAGAACACTAGTGGAAATGCTAAAGCTTGATGGCAGTACCAGTTTCTGAACATTCATACTACGAATGAAAACGTGAGTTTATGAACTGAATTCGATGAATAA